TCAGGCATATATACCACAAATGAATGACATGAACGTAAACATCAGATAAGGGTACAGGTTCAAAACCCAGATGGTCTGAGTGACCAAGCTAGATGATTGGCCCCACGGCGATCAACAGTGTGTTTGTGTGTGTGCGTGGCGTTGTCTACACTGTGTCCGTACAACAAGGGACCAGGGTAAAGTTAGTGCCTGGACAAATTTCTTGTGCGCACATAGGTCAGGGTCATGAAGCCTGATGGTTATTGCCTCGGCCGCTGCCAGTAGACGACATCTAACCGTTCTTGTGACGGCATCTGGGTATGCGTAGATGGGCTGAAACGCCTCATGCACTCTGACATGATGGCTCGAGGTCGATCAGGGTGTTAAAACTGCGCTTGCCACTGATCTAGTCACGCCGCTATACCAGCCAAGATGGACAGTGTTCCCTGGCTCTCACGGGACAGACTCCTGGTAGGTTCTTCCGATATAACTTGATCGACACGAGCAAGGAGAAAGAGTATCCAGAGAAAGAAGTATTTGACCTTGGAAATCTGTCCTTAAGTTGTTGTTGACTTAAGGGTTGGGCAATGAGTAGAAACTTAACCGCCGCCTTGCTTGCACGGCACGTTTGTGCGATGGCGTCTGCGTAACAATATCAGTCAGCTAGAATTAGAAGTACAGTTTCAAAATGCACATTCCTAAGCACCTATGCTTACACCCACGTCAGCATTAGATTCTGAGCATTTAAAGTCCACCATGGTCAATACATGCTACCAGTACTTGAAGCAAAAACCTAAAGTCAGGTATTTACCAAAAAAGGTGCACTTAGACGTCCTCAAAGCACTTAAACGGAATAAAAATGTGCTGCTCGCAAAGCCGGATAAAGTTGCGGCACAACAGCTGAGGTGTTCCCCACCTCTAGCTAACGTGTATGATGATGATGAAGAAGAAGCCGGATAAAGGAGCAGGGATTGCCCTTATGGATAAATCTGACAATATCGTTAAGATGAATCCCATCCTGAACGGTCATTCAAAATTCCGGATGATGGAGAAAGACAAAGCGATCTCGATAGAAAACAAAGTCACAAAGCTACTACGCTGAGTGAAATAAGAGAATGCTATTAACTCAGTGGTGTTTGAATGCACGCGTCTCTCTGGGACGTTGATTCCATGTCTTTATGGCTTACCGAAAGTGCATAAAAAGATGGGCTTCCATTGAGAACAATATTAGATATGTGTGATTCGCTATATCACTCAACAGCCAAATGGCCCGTTAACCTTCTAGAACCGATCAGAAAAGTCTTATCCAAACACAGCCTCGGAGACACATTCAGCTTCGTAGACTCCATAAGCCAGATGCCGTTAACAGGAAGGAATATGTTTTCTCTAGATGTATTGTCGCTGTTCACCAATCTTCCACAGGAGGAGACGACAGACTACACTTGCGATGCTGTTTGATTGAACCATGGGGATGTTGACCTCTCAAACGAACAACTTGAACAGTAACTTCTGATGTGTACCGATAACGGACGATTCCTGTTCGACGGAAAGATTTACAGACAGAAGGACGGAGTCGCAATGGGTTCTCCGTTAGGACCATTGTTAGCAGATGTATTTATGTGCAACTTAGAGTGCAATTATCTGAACAGAGTTATCAACAAATTAGTCTACTACGGACGGTACGTGGACGATATATATCTGCATCTCAGGTAATCATCTTTTGCACGTAAGATTAGTGATGGCGAATTTAAATCAGGCCCACGCAAAATAACATGCACCCTTGAATCTGAGTGCAACAACTCGATGTCGTAATTAGACGTTCAGATTAGCCGAAGGTCTACGGGTCTGTCCAGCGCAGTGTCCATAGAAAGACAACGTGGATGGACAATATACTCCCATCGCAATGATGGTGGATCTTACCGTGGTGCGATGGTTTGTGTGCTTCAGCGATCCATTGAGCTACGCTGGTGGTGGTGGGTTTTGTTGCACATCCAGAGCCACTCAGACCAGAATTGGTTAATGGTTAGAGGCCATAGAACTCAAAAACAGTTATTTTGTAATGCTCTGTGCCACCGCAGAGGATAATCAACGGTGCCCTATCTGCTGCAATCTAGCAGGGTGGGATAGGGGTTTTGGATGCCAGTGCTCAAGCCTTCCCGTTTCCTTACTCCTCGCTTACGCCTTGTTTCTCTCGTGTCGTTCCAGCTTCACTTTATCCCCCGTGGTTTCAACCCTCAATTCTTGGCCCTCCCCCATCATCATCATCATCAACAGCACTACATCAGCCATTTGAACTGATGTTCGCTGCCATGCAACCATGAGGACCTATGATATAAAGAATAAGAAGAGGGAGAGAAAGGGGACTTACCTGAAAACCTTAATGCCTAAGCAAACATCAGGATCAAGACGCCTACATCTTGTGTCGACGGCATATCGTCACAAACAGCTGGCTATCGTGCAAAGACAAGGCGGCATCGGCGAGACAGCTTCCTTGCGGCTATCACTGCCATGCGTCATAATCAGCCATCACCCCGCAGATAACTCAGCACCAAACACACTTTAAACAGATTATCCGATTAGGAGACGGCAGCAGACGCGCCACTGGTGTCGGGTTGCGGAGGCCATGTCCTGTAAAGTCTCGAGCCAAGCACAAGTCATTGTTGGACCCCAACCCGGAAGGCGAGACGGACCAACGGCACCCAGTTTTGGTCGTCAGTGATTTCATTTCCCGCTGCTAAGTCAACTTCTGTCCACCTCGAGCCTTGCGCCATCCTACACCTGGTAGGACTGAACAAGGCCCTCCTAGGTAAGCGGTGACCAGGCATGCGTAGCAAGTGCCCGACCCAACGCAACTTGTTCAGTGCTATGTGTTGTTCTAGGGAGCTAGCATGATCATCACCACCTAGTACTCTCCTACGCACATCATCGTTGCAGACACGTCCTGGTGCCATCCGACACCAGCAATGCTTCGCAACCAACGATGATCAAAG